AATAAGATCGAAAATTGTGACTTGTACGATTGTATATTATTTGCGTGATCTATCTAAAAACACCGATTCATAGAAACAGTAATTATGTAAATGCCAAACGAAAATTTTTTATTTTCAAAAATTTTTTCGAATACAAACAAAAGCTCAACTAAGAAATTGGTAAATAATGTTCTCCTCTTCAATCAAAAGAGTTTCCAATATCACTTTTCAGAATTGTTCTTAAAATGCAAGGAAGACATGATTCAAGTCGAGGTAACAGAACAATAGACCAGAGTCTGCGATCAGACGGGCCTGCGAGAAAAAAGCATCAAGATATGGATTGGTATCATGGATTACTTCCAAGAGCTGATATCAACGCGTATTACATACTTAGAAGTAGCAGGTTTGTATTAATGAAGTTTTCAGATTATTAGAGCATGATGGAGATTTTCTTGTTAGAACTTCTCATATAGCTGGACATGACACTGCGAAGACAGTTCTCTCTGTGAAATGGAAAGGGAAGTGTCATCATTGGCAGCTGCAGGAAAAAGAAGATGGTATGAAGAAGAAGTATAGAAACTAATCGACTATTCTCAATGTATATCCTAGGATCCATTGTAATTGAAGAGCGTAAATTTGATAGTGTTCTCGATATGGTGACCATTCTTCGGTTGAAACGTCTTCCTGTTTCGATCAACTGTCCAGCTCTTCTTCTGAATCCGATAAATAAACAAGACTGGGAGCTTCGTCATGATCAGATTATTCTTGGAAAAATGCTCGGAGAAGGTGCTTTTGGTGGAGTGTACAAGACTGTTTTTTATAGCAAAGGAGAAAAAAGAATGGTAATTTTGAATTGTGAATTTATGAGAAACTGTCTCTTCCATTACTTTGGTTCAGGTGGCAGTGAAAGTGAATAAAGGAAACGAAAAGATCAGTACTCGAAATATGATTGAAGATGTCTGTAAAGAAGCTCGTATTATGAGACAATATCAACATCCAAATGTTGTCTGTTTCTATGGAGTTTGTGTTGAAAAGGTGAGAAGTTTGTTGAGTGATCACTATTTACTTTGTCTGTTTCAGGAACCAATTATGTTGGTTATGGAACTGGCAAGCCAAGGAGCACTTGATTCATATCTGAAAAATGAGAAAAATAATGTTTCATTGAGAGACAAATTAAAATATTCTTTCGATGCTTCCAAAGGGCTTGAATATCTTCATCAACGAGGATGTATTCATCGAGATGTTGCTGCTCGAAACTTCCTTATGCACAAGAATGTTGTCAAAATCACTGACTTTGGTCTTTCAAAGCAACTTTCCGACCTTGCTCATAAGTACAAATTGCAAGATGTTCAAGCGAAACTCCCAATCAGATGGCTTGCTCCAGAAGTAATTGTCACTGCTACGTACACTTTCAAATCAGATGTGTATTCGTTTGGAATCCTTTTATGGGAGGTGAACTCTTTTATTGAAAAATCCACGTGAAAATTGAATGAAATTCAGATTTTTATGGATGGAGCTACTCCGTATCCGGGTATGATATTGGCTGAAGTGAAACAAAAAGTGAGAGTTGGATATAGAATGGAAGCTCCTGATCGTATGCCAACATTTGTTCGTAACATTATGCTGAACATGTGTTGGCCTCAAAATCCAGAAGATCGTGGGAATATGAATGAGATTCGTTGTGCAATGGAGGCTGTTTTGGATGGGAAATTCGGTGTGGCAAATAATCGTTCAGTCTACTACAAATCTCTATAAATGTTCCCTAAACTTCCAATGTTCTTTTCTTATCGGCTCTTGATTTTTGGGGAGCTCTCAAAATAAAATGATGTGTCTTCGCAAAAAATTTCTCATACAATTGAATATGATTCCAAAAATCTACGAGTTTTGCATCTCTGACGTCTTGGCGTCCATTATCCAGAAAATGATTCATTTGGGTGCCCTGTCAAGTCTTCGAACAATCGCAATTATGTTCAATATATCTGCCTCGGAGCAATTTACTAACGGAGCTTTCCTTTGAGGATTGTGAGTTGATGTGACAACCCATTCGGATGTTCAATACTAGTTCGTCTATAAAACTTGTGAGACTTTATCAGATTTCGTTGATTTCTAAAATGTCACATTTTTAAACCAAAAACATAAAAGTGGTGGCCAGGATAGTCCTCTTCTTCGTCTCCGGTCTGCGGGAGGCCTCTCCTTTTTCATTTTCTTCACCCTTACCAACACCATCAGACTTCTATTTTATTCCGCATCTCGATCTTTTAGTCTTTCTGTCCAAACGATTGGAAACTACATTCAAGTATCGAGGATACCAGAATCCGAAAACCACTGAATTGAAATCTACATGCATAATGATCATGGTAACATGTTAGGTTAATTCTTCCCTTTTCCGGTATTTTATGGGCGGCTTTTTGTCTTATTCTAGGCTTGTGTATTTCCATATTGATTCATACTCGTAAATAATGAGTTTCCGTTTCGAATACTATACTTTTCCGTTTACTTTCTCTCTTTTCTGCTTTTTCTCCCCCATTTCCTATAGTTTCTTTTTCTTCTTTTGTCTGTGAAAACATACTTCGTCTCCTGCAGACTTTAAAATTCAAATTCTTGTCGTAAAGTCGTCTAGACTTAACCTTTTCAGGTATGTAAAGTTTAGAAATACAGAGGAATAATTTCATTTGACGAGACGAGTATTCCTCATCAGAATATTAAATTAACCACTTACCTTTTACTGTGCAAAAAGCTCAATAAAGTCCAGCTCGTTCAGATTTGTGTTGTGGGATTTTGAATATCAGTATTTTGGTATTGCTGCTTCTTTAATTCAGGATAGAAATATTCTATGTTCTTCAAATCTGGCTATTTTATCTTCACATATTCGAAAACCCACTATTCCTAAGATTCCAGATTCTTCATAGTTAATCAGTCTTCTTTCGAAAAACCAAGATCGTAATAAGAACATCTAATGAGTTGTATCTGATCCTTCCTATCCTCAGTTTTGGACGACTCGAATCCCATGGTTATATAATGCTCATTAATTGACCAAAGATACATTACAGCAGACTTGGAAACTATCATTATTGAATGTGAAAATATTATCAACAATAGGCCAATCACATATATCGACGAAGATAGTGAAAATATTAAATGTCTCAGACCAATCGACTTGATTACTCCAGAATTCTCTACTCCAGAGTTTGATGAAAACGTAATGGAGCTCGAATATGCTCAATATACATCAAGATTCTTAGAAACCCGAAAACATGGGCACTGGTCTAAAATCGAGGACTGAAAGAAAAAAATCGGCTTTTTGAAATAAGCAGTGAATACCAGTTATTTATTATTTTTAAAGATCAGGATTCCAGGTAAAACGTTTTGTGGTTAAAAAACCAACAAAACGAAGAAAATCAAATCCAAATCGTATTTATTTCTTCTCGTCTCCACCCTGAAATCTAATCGCATTTGTTGTGGTTAGTCAGTGATTGGGGGGCCAGAACCAACCTGTTCTTTTTTCTATTCTATGATTTTTCTGAAGGTAGGACAGGCATGTGTCATCGATGACACATTAAAACATTGTTGCTTTTTTTGGTAGAAAGCATCTCAGAATTTCGAAATAAAGTGAAGAGTCTCGGAGAATGCACTGAATGATACTCCAGAAAAACCCATTGAGAATGATGAGAAAATGCAAAACACCCACATCAGTTTCGGAAAAAAAAACGTTTTTGTGTCTCTTTTCCATTTTATTTTATTACATTCCATGAGCACCCAACGACCTCCTCCCTTTTTTTGTTTTCCATGTTTTCCAGATGCTAACGAAGAAAATAAAAGAAAGGAAAGGAAAAAAGAAACAACTCGTCAGGATGTGAAGGAGAGGGGGAAGAAAGGAAGTGAGCTCCAGGTCTATGAGCAAAATAACAGAAAAAACATAGACTGAAGACTGGAAATTGTACATTTGATACAACATATGAAGAGAAGAATGAGATGAATTTAGACTATTTGCAAGGATTCAAGAGTCTTTTTTTTCAGAAGAATCAAATGCGAATGGATTACTGTACCGGGTTTTGAGATAAGATCAACTTCTACTCTGACAAAACGCCGAAATGAATGGCCACGTGGATTACTGTAGGGAAAATAAGAAGATCCTAACGTCAACTTTTCAGAAGAAAAAACCAGATAGAATGTCTTGAGAACAGTAACTTTAAAGGATCAATTCATGCTTCTAAAAAATTACATTTTGCTCATCTCGGAATTTATAATTTATTCTTATAGAAGGGCGGTTTATCCGAAATTTAGATGATCAAAGGCACAACGAATGATCCGGAACGCACGTCAACTGTTCTTGTTTTTCAGGATTTCCAGTACCATTCCAGTCCCCATTTCTAAAAACTACCGTACTCCTTTCTCTCCACCTTCATCTTTGGGTCTATTCTCATTTCAACTTGCTCATAACTTGGGTACCAAGAAAAGGCGGATCTCAAAAACCTATCGATAATCCGATCCTCTAGATTCCACTCTCTGTTTTTTCTTGGATTTTTGGTTTTTGACTAAAACGAAATTCTAAGTACAGGAACCTGATCCAAAGTTCCCCGTATTTCACAATCTGCAAGTATTAAACGGAATTTAGTATTTTCCAAAAAGAGTTATAGCGGGACGTCAAATCAGAATTCTGGACCAGATCAATGTCGCCGTGCCAATTGCAGTCCATTTTTCGATTATTTTCGAAACACCCAAAATTTTCCTTTTTCTTCCTTTTCGAATCGCTCGACTCAAGAATGATCAAGATTGATAAACTATCACGGAACCCCATTTTGCCTATTTCTCCCACTCTTCGTCAAAAATTCGGATGAGAAATATCTGGTCATTTCAGGTCCCAACTCATATTTTACCACTGAATTCATTTATGTACAGTTTGTCAGTTCCAATCAAAGTTACCATAGTTTCAAAACAATGAATTTTTGAATTTCCTACAGTAATCCTCTTGCTCATCTTTAATTTATGTTAATTACCGCATTATTTCCGATTGTTTTTAGGCCGGGGTAGCCAAGTGGCAAAGGCGCAGGTTCGGGGGATCTGTGGATGTTTCAATTCTTTAGGGGTTCGATTCCCCTCCCCGGCAAACTTTTTTTTTGAAAACAATTCAAATGACCTGATTCAGTTAATCGGGTTCTATTAAATCTTTGAATCGAACAAAACTACCGTAACCCAAAAATCAGATCATTCCTGATTTACTTTACCTGTAGGGAACACGTCTATTATGGTAATTCTCAAATGAAATCGTAATCCCATTCACATTTGTTCTCAAAAGAAAAGTTTCGGAGAAATTCGCATCTCTTTCTCTCCACAAATGACCTTCAGAAAGTACTTTCTTCACTCTTCCTTATCTTCATTTTTCCATCAACAAATGCTTCTTCTTCTCTTCTTTTTTCCTATTTTAATTGATCACCTTTCACGTGATTTCACCTTGTTCAAAACCTTGTTTATTAGAAGAAAAGTCAAAAGCTTCTTCTTCTTCTTCAACCCAACCAGTTTCTTTTCTATCAAAAAGAGACGGGCAAACATGACGTCACCCCTCCCCCCCCCCCCCCGTTTCCGTGCGTTTTCTCTGCACTCTCTTGCTCCCGCACACTCTTTCTCTGTGTCTGCGTCTCTTTGTAGGACGGTGTTCGTCGCTTGAAACTATTGATTTTCAGTGCGGTAAAGCATAAAATAGACAAGAAAAAAAACACAAATATTTCCAGTCGCATTCTTGCACTTTTTCTCTAACTTCTCTAGCTTCTTCTCTCTTTTTTTTTCGCGAAGAACGAGAGTTTTTTTGTTTTGTCTCTCTCTCTCCTTCTATGGCTTCTCTTCAGATTGTTTTTGCGGGAAAAAACGTATTTATGTCTTATTTTTAGTCGCGGATAACAAAGAGATAAGAGAAAAAAGCCGTACTTTGATGCGTTCTTTGGCTAAGAAGATAGGGTTTAGAGGGGGATGTTTTGGGATTATACGCAGTTTGGATCCTTAAATAAGAAGACCTTTTTTATAAGTGCATGTTCATTTTTCGTAAATTGTAAAGTAGAAACTTTCTTATCATCGCCGTACGAATAGGTGCTCAATTCTTAATCTAACCGGATTGAATCTCGAAATTTCTGGGCAGAATCCTCTTACGGTTTAGAAAATTGAGCTTTGACTTCAGAAACAAAAACCCAGCCCCGAAGCAAGAATCTCTAATTTTATGATGAGTAATTTTTGGATGCACAATTAGGACACTGTTTGTTCTCAGTTTTTGAACCTTTATTCATTATAGTTAACCGTCCAACCTTTTTTTACTCCCTTTATCCTCACTCCACTAATCGTTTACCTCCAATGTCCTGGCATTGTGCCAATCGATCAGGGGGCGGAGCCTAGGGCCTCCGTCATGCAGTGCAAAGACGCCTTGTAAACCGTCTCCCATAACTACTATCTCTTCCTTGCCCTCTCATTACCTGTCGTAAATTATATCTCTCGCTACACCTCTTTTTCAAATGAGTAATTGGGTAAACAAAAAAGTAAAGATGCTATTTTCCTTCCTATCATGTAATTGCGCTCTTCTGATAATTTTTAAGTTCAAGTTTCCACCGCAAGTTTGAAAGTTTCACAATTTACACTTTCCATTTTAAATGTGTTCTTTGTCTCTCGCCGAACCAATTTTTCCTATAATAAAATTATAAATTTTCAGGATGGCAGAAAAAGAGCCTCCACCAGTCACAACGTCCTCTTCGATTCCATCAACATCAACATGCTCTCCGATCACAGTTACGTGTGATTCTGAATTCGACATTGCCACGTGCTCTTCCTCCACCTCACTATCATCCTCGATTTCTTCATTTCTAACACTCGATTTCGATAAATTATCACTGGATACGGATCTTCGAGAAGGTCGATACAATCAGAACCATTCTCCACCAGGTCCGCAATCACCGACTCGGATTACTGTAAGCAAGGCGCTTGCACTCAATTTTTATCTCTCAATTTTCAGCAAAACATGCCACCGACGGCTGAAAACGCTCAATTTTACCGGACACCTGCTCACAAAAACGGACGATTTTTGCCGTATGATGTACCATTCAAATTGAGGTTTGTAAATTGAAAGTTTTTTGAATTTTCAAGTAATTTATTCTGAATTTCAGACGCCGTCGGAAGGCAACCAAGAATTCAGCCACTTCAAAACCAACTGATATTGAAGTTTTGCTGAAAATCAAACTGAAAGGAAACGTTGAGCCGCTCAGAATGTGCATATTTGACAAGTGAGTTTTCTATTTCTCTTCAGATTTTAAACCTTCCCGAAGAAATGAAAAATGTGAATTATTCGATTGAACTTCATCAAATTGTTTTTGAAAACTCTTTTTTTCAGAGAAAATGTGTTGCCGAAACCATGCAGTGTTCAAGCGAATCGTCCACCTTCTCCGATCAACGAAGCCGAAGAGGTTGATGAGCTATCCGAATATTTTACTCACTTCGTCCGGGTTGAACTCAAGATGTCATCGCTGGCCGAATCGATGTACGTCTGAATGAAAAAGCATCCTCAGTAATAAATTTCGTCCCCTTTAATTGTTTGCATTGCTCACCATTCGTCTCGGATGTCTTTTTGACCGACATTATCTACAGATTCCGTTTTATCACTGAAAATCAATCACATCGATGAATTTTCAACACATGATAACATAAAATAGTCATATCATAATAACATGTGGAACATCAAATGATTAGTAAGATCGGTTTTACAGGAGAAATGGGACTTGAGATACAATATTCGAGATGAATTTTAAGAGAGAAAAAGAAACTAAAGGGCATTAAAATAGGGTTAGCTTTATATTCAGAAGTTAAAAAAATATATTGAATCTGACAAGTTATTTACGAAGGAACAAGAGGCTCAAATTTACGGAAACACTTCTGTTTTCCGTCTTCTCCAAGTCGAATCTCCAACGTCTTCTGAAGGCGAAAATTCCGCTCTTGGCGGATCGTGTTCATCCTTTTATAGTCATACTTTCTCTTCTCCACCTTCATTACTGACGATCTTCCGGATTTCGATTTGGAGTGCTTCCGAGGAACGAGTTTTGTACTTGGTACCCAGATTTGTTCGTCTATAAGATCTTCAACGGCGGTGACGGGTTTATTTTAAAATTTGAAGTGTTCAGAAAATAAAACAACTAGAGTTCTACTGTATCAATTTTCAAAAGGTTACCTTTTATGCATTGCAAATAAATTCGATGAATCTTTCCGGGATTCGATTCAATTGAAAGGAATGGTTCGTTTTTGTATTTCCCATTGAAAGCGTATTGCATATCGACACCAGTTTGCCCAATGATAGTGCTGATATCTCTCTCATCATCTTCGTCTTCTGCACCTTCTTCATCTTCTTTCATTTCAGAAAATTCAGAGTCAGGTTCAGGAGCATCTGGAGATCCTGCGGATACCTCCTCATCGTCTTCATCGTCCTCCTCCATACCTTCATCGTCATTTCTTCCTTCCGATGGTGGCTCCTCATCATCTCCTCCATCCTCTTCTTCTTTTGGATCTTCAGCCTCATCTCCTTCTTCTTCCTTTTTAACTTCATCATCATCTTTCTCCATTTTAGCATCATCATCATCGTCGTTTTCATCTTGAGACTCTCTTTCATCTTTTGGAATAAGCCAGATTTTCAAATGTGGTTGAGTCATTTCGTTCACAAATTCAAATCTATACAAATTCTTTCCCCCTATACACTCTTCAGCACGTTCCTCGTATTCTTGAACAATCGTATCAAAGTCTTCTAAAGTTTCAGCTTCAATTAATCTCTTCCGGAATTCCAAATACAGTTTGATCGGGTTATCCCGTTCTTCGGTACAAACTGCGTGATGAACATTTTTAGTGAATGCCTGGAACAGTTTATCGATGGAATTGAACATGGAGACATCTCCAGGGAAAAGATTCTTGATGACATCATCCAAAGAAGCCATGTCTATCTGAGCTTTCCCGAGTTGTTTCAGCTCACGGATCGTTGCTTCATAGTAACCAGTTGGACAGGCGCGTACGTTCTGAAAAGATCTTATCTCCAAGAATCCTTCTTAGTCCTCCACTAACCCATATTTCATTCACTGCATTTCTCTTTTCATCCAAAATCTTATCAAGAACTCGACGGCCATGCATATCTCCTCCGATTCCTGTTTGCAATTGTGATTGCTTCATTTGACTATCCTGAAGAATTAACACTATATTTATCATTTTTTCCATCTAGAACAAACCAAATACTCTTGACTGTGATTAGCTTGAGTCGCCAATAATTTCGAGAATCTATCAATGAGCATATGATGGAAACGGATAAAGAAGTACACAGTGTCATCTCCATAGAATACTCTCCGTTCCAATTTGTGAAGATTCCTACGGAACTTTTCAGCTGCATTCATTGATGACGTTCCAGGTTCAGAAGAAGAAGCGAGCGTATTTTCAGGAGAAGTTGGAAGAGGAGCTATAGTCGAATTTTTGAGACGACGACTGTCTAGATTCAGGAGACTTAGCATATTTTCATCTTCCGTTCTGAAGAGAAAAGAGTTCGATTTGATCGCAAAACTAGAAACAACTCACAAGTCTCCTTGGAATTTGTAAATTTCACCCGATTCGAGAGTGAATTGAACATCTTGTCCCGGTTGACACAACCATTCCATGAGGATTCTATAGCTTTATGATTTATTAATATTTGTGTTCTTTTAAGATGCTTACTTGAATATGACTACTTTCACACGTTCTCTGTCAGTTTTTCCGTTTGGAAGATCGTGGAAAAAGTGTTCGGATATCTCATTAACATCTCGATATGTTCTCCGTTCAGTTGGATATTCAAGTGTCAAATGAGCAGAATCATCTTCCGCGGCTTTCTTTTCTTCGTATGCCTGCTCAATTGCAGTCATAAGTGGTTTCACTTTGAACCCCTTCTGATCATTATTCTTCTGTTGAGTATGCAAGAGGTTATTGGCTGCAGCCATTTGTCTTTCCAGTGCTTCTCTCCATATTTTATTTGTGTCTTGTTGGAAAGCGACCCAGTTGGAATCTCTTTCAGTGAGCGCCGCAATCAATTTAGTCAGTCCTTCGCGTACATTCGTTTTGACAGCATCAATGATT